CTCTTGTGTATTGCAGGACCAGTGAGGAGCAGCGATTGTCTTGCATATTGCTACAACTAATGGCCAAATCGACGTGGGCTTCTTGGTTGATGAAATTTTGATGTGTTTCTCTTTTATGATTTTGATTTGTCCGAGTTCATAATTGATGGGGTTAATCTCGAATATTGGGCCAGATTTTAATGTCCTTAAAATAGGACCTGCTTGCACTAGGCTGCTATGGTCATTTTGATTGCCTTCAATCTAATCTTTGGACTGTTCACCTTCCAAATCGATCAACCCAACACAATCCGATTGAAACTTGGTTGGGTTGGATTTAAACACATAATTGGGTTGGCTTAGATTTGGCTTATGTAAAAAATCGACTTAACCCAACCTACACCCACCTCTAACCATAATTATTATCTATAAATATGTGGTTTTAATTCTCAATAATATACACATAAGTATATTGATTTCAATACTTTCTTCTATTTTTCTCTCTATTCTACAACAAACTTCATATTTTATAAATGCCACAAAAATAGTATATAAATTTATTATATTTATAGTAACAAATAATAATAATAAATAATTTGTTCTATCTTATCTATACGTAGCATAAATAAATATTCCCAAGTAAGAAAGGTATACGGATTCAAATTCGTCAAAATAAATGTGGAGGTACATGCGATTGGTTCGATGTTTTCAATCATTCTTAAATGTAGTTTATGGAACGTAGCGAAGGAGCCATTGACTTTCACGTAGTTTCTCCAATATCACTTTCTGCCCACATTTCTTCGTATTTTCCCAAGCTCGTGCCTTCATGGCACGTTATGTCATTGAAATAGAGAGGATTAAATATAATAAGACGAAAAATAAAAATGTTAAAATCTAATCTATTATATTTTCGATAATTACATATATCCAACAAATGAGTGTAGGATCAAGTGAGTAAAACTAAAACTTTTTTTTAACCACACATTCTTTCAAAATTCAATATTACAAAACTCATTCAAAAAAATAAAAAAGTAGGGTCAAATATAGACCTAAAGTAGAAAATAAAAATTTATAATACTTTTAGCCCCAGTTTGATTGCCATTATTTTGAGAAAATTGAGTTTTGATTAGTGCTTTGTTTGGAAAATGTGCGACTAAAAAGTTAAAAAAATTACATGTAAAATATTTTATTGTGTAAATATGTAGGTAAAAATGAATATGAGAACTAAAGAGTTTTCAAGTATTAGTTGTCAAACGGGTTTAATTATTCTACTAATACCATCAAATTTATAAATTCAGTCAAAATCACATTAATTTCAGTCACAGTCATAATTAATACTTATTATTATCTATATAATCCTTTTAATTGTTTTACTAATACCTTAATCTGCCCTTGCATAAGTTTTATAAATTCGGTCAAAATTACATTAATTTCAATCACATTCATAATTATTACTTATTAATTACTCTATCCCATTTAATAGGAAAAATGAACTATAACTAAACAAATTAAATAAATACATATTAGTAAATAAACAAAATAAAACATTCTCAATAAAGAAATGAGACTAGATAATTAGGACAAAAAATAAGGAAAGTCAACATATATAATTGAGATGAATGAATTATTATCTATATATTTTAGAGTAATACTATTTGCAATTGTTATCATAATCATCATATGTTACATACATATGCAGGTTGTTACATAAAACGATTACGATAGTTAGTGGCTGTAAATAGTATTATTTTATATTTTATGGGATTCAATACTACTCCTCTTAATATTTATCTTTATAACCAATTATATCCTCTATTTGGAAGAATTTATAAATTTCTTAATTTATAAATATCGAGAAATGACTAATGAGCGATAGATAAATGTATAATAATTGTAGGTCCATATGTGATTAAAAAAAAAATTTGATAATTTATAAATAATAGTACATACTATATTTACGATGTACGCGTCAGATATATTTGTGTGTGGGTAAAGAGAGACTGGCCTCCTTCCGACTTTGTTTCTCATTTCCTTCCCAGAAATAATCCAATAAGAAACCTTTGCTAAGATATATCACTCTAAGAAGTAGACGAGAGAGATAGAGAGAGAGATGGGAATCTGCTTTCCTAAGCCTACGGCGGCGGAGCGTAAGATTTACAGCGGCGCCGACGCCAAACCTGCTGGTGCCACCCCAGGTATTTATATCCTCTAACACCTACAGATTCATCTAATACTCTTTTGTAAAAAAATTGCCAAGTCTGTCAATACAATAACTCTTTTGTTTTCACTTTCTTTCAGTTCATAGTCATGCAAAGTCAATCAAGAATCCTAATCCCCACGCCGCCACCACGAATATTGTTCAGCACCGTGCATCGCCGCCTAACGGAGGCAGAAACGGCAAAGGTGTTCGGGCAAGTGGCCATATTATTACTCCAAACTTGAAAATGTTCACCTTTGCAGAACTGGAAAGTGCTACAAGAAATTTCAGAGCTGATAATTTTTTGGGAGAAGGAGGTTTTGGAAAGGTTTTTAAAGGTTGGATTGATGAGAAAACTTACTCGCCTTCAAAATTTGGTGTTGGAATGCCTGTTGCTGTCAAGAAATCAAATCCAAATAGTGATCAAGGACTAAAAGAATGGCAGGTCAGAGATATTTATTTGCTTTATTAATTCTTGTGGACGGTATTAAAAACCAGGGTCAGGACCTGCGCAGAGGTGCATGGCCGGCACCTAAGTTGGACAAAAAATAAAAACACTATATGATGATTTTATAAATTTAATTCTAATCTTTATTTACTTGTTAAATTTTTATTTAATAAAAATTATTAAGAAAAAGACATGTGATGCAACCACCCATTGCCGAGGCACCACCTCAGCAGGTGGCTCACACACCTCGGGGGTGTGTGATGAGCCACCCATCGAGGTGGCCCTTCCTTATAGGAAGGTTGCATCATGTGGTGGTGCAACCACCCTAATGAAGATTTTCTCCTTGTCAAAATAACTTGTTAATGGCCTATGGTGAAATTTCTTGCTACGTTTAACAATGAAGAAATGTGACTTCATTTTGTAATGGGACATATTGGGTCTAGTGTCGATAATCCAGTCGCGCACACTTTTTGGCAGTTGGGCGAAGATTGGCATGCAACAAATTTTGTTGCCCCTGCCCAATATAGTTGACGATGAGTCGAGTTAAGTTCTTTCGGGCTAATTATAAGATTTAGAGTAGCCGGTTGAACGTCTCCTTCCTCAACCTAATTCTTCACTTAGCCCTAGTGTTGGCTCCATTTTAATGAAAATTTGGGGAAAAAATGAGTTTTGAAATAATGATTTCTTGAAAATGTGTGGTTAAAAAATAAAGAAAAATTTTCAATTTATGTGTAGTATTATTTTATAGGAGAATATGAGATTGAAATGAATTTTTGAAAAAATAGGAACCAAACATATAGAATTATTTTTGGAAAATATAAAGGCAGTCAAAGAATTGAGGTAATGATAAATATAGTGAATTATTCTTCTTGTACAACAAGAGTTGACAATCGCAGTTGACAATGTACTCACAGGAGGAAGACCCACGATTTTTTTATTCAACATGAGCCCCCGTCTAATTGTCAACCGGGGTTGTTAATCCCGATTGTACACATAGCACAACTGTACATATAGTAGTCCCACTTTTGTGGATTTCATGTTATATATATTGAGAGAGAAATTAACCATACTAACCACCGATGGTATATTATATTAATTCATTAGTGGATAATAAAATTATTTCAAATGTTGAGATACCCATAAATTTATCGATGCTTAACATAATATAAGCATTGACGCTCATTATATATATATAAAGGATATCCTCTATTGTAAGTTTACTTTAAAGGTAAATTCAAGAGCTGTGAGACAGAATTTTGATCGATCTAGTCTAGTTTCTTACACATTGTCCACCCTGCCTATGAATAATATTTTTTAATTTCAATTTATGTATTTTCATTTGCATTACTCGTGAATTTTTTAATTAATTTTTTTCTTTGCAGGCAGAGGTAAAATTTTTGGGAAAATTTTGCCATCCTAATCTTGTGAAACTATTAGGTTACTGTTGGGAGGATAGACAATTTCTTTTGGTTTATGAATACATGGAGAAGGGAAGTTTAGAAAGTCACCTTTTCAGAAGTAAGCATTAAATTTAAACAATTATGTTACTTGTGCTTTGCTTAGAGTAATATTTATATTTTTGTCAAATAAGTACTTTTTCACTTATAAGTAAATACGTACTCATGTATTACATTTCCAGAGGATGCAGCAGAAACTTTTCCTTGGGATACAAGGATTAAAATAGCAATAGGAGCAGCCAAAGGACTTGCATTTTTGCACACAACCGAGAAGAAGGTTATATTTCGAGATTTTAAGGCCTCCAACATATTGCTTGATAGGGTAATTAAATTAGGCTTCTTAGTCAATCCGCATTTCACACAAATAATATTATCATGTAATTGATTTATTATCATTTTTCAATTTTCGTTGCGAAGGACTTCAATGCAAAGCTTTCAGATTTTGGATTAGCTAAGTTAGGTCCGACGAACGGTAAATCACACGTTACAACACGAATTATTGGCACATATGGATATGCAGCTCCTGAGTACATGGCCACAGGTGATTACAAATAGGACTCTTGTTTATACCTTCTGCATTTAGTATATGTTTGACTTTCGCTTATGTCTTGTCGTTGATATAAGAAAAAAAAAATTATCTGTTAGCTAGCTAGTCGTCCTCTCAGATCCCATTCTTTTTTCAATGACTTGTAGGGTGAATTCCAAATTTTGAAAAATGTAACTAAGCAATGTAATATTGAATTTGCAGGTCATTTATACTTGAAGAGTGATGTCTATGGATTTGGGGTGGTTTTACTCGAGATATTAACAGGCCTAAGAATTTTTGATACGAATAGGCCCAATGGAAATCACAATTTGATAGATTGGGCCAAGCCTTTCCTACCAAATAAAAAGAAGTTGAAAAAAATAATAGATCCAAGGCTGCAAAATCAATACCCTTCAAAAGGTGCATCTCAAATAGCAGAACTCATACTTAGGTGTCTCGAGTCAGACCAGAAATGCAGGCCAGACATGGAAGACGTTTTGAAGAGTTTGGAACAAATTAATACAATCAAAATGAAATTGAGAGAGTCAAATTCCGAAGGTAGACACAAAAAGCAGCACGCGACTGACCATCACGGCCGGTCTCCTCATTTGACTTACCGGTAGCAAAATATGGAAACTTGATTGGGTTATCTAGCTTTAATTTGTCTCAATCAAATCGTTAAACTTCAATTTATTGTCAATGTCAATCACTTCATTTGTCCCCGTTAATGAATGTAATGTCACAATCCTACCTAGAATTGGTTTCATCATGGCAATTACTTTTCCTATTTATCTACATGTATATCATAACTTACAATTTTGTTTACTAACACATCATGTGACGAGATTTTATTGGATAAAAAAAAACTCCACTTCATTTTTGACACTTCGTCAATCTGTAAAAGATTATGTAGATGACGAAATACAATAAACATTTTTCATTTGTTTAGGCTTGATTATCATAGTGGCGGGCCTTTTTCGTATTTTTTATTGGGCCTCAATGCTTGGACCTTTTGGTCCTGGTACCTATATGTCTTGGGCTTCAAGCCCATTAGTTCGATCCTCTTGTCCATTGATTGCCGAATAAAAATTTCTTATTTTTTGTAATTTATAGATTTGAGCTAAATGACTAGTTTGCTTGCTTATTTTGTCGATGGATTCTAATGCAGAAAGAAGAATAAGAGGAAAGAGGATATGACATTTTATCAATATGATGTTTTTTTAGTAGAAATTGCATCTAGGGCTATTTTTCAAGGTTGCATTTCATAAATAAGACTTCAAGTTTCATCTTTCATAATTCAGATTTTAATTAATTATTTAACATTTAGAAAATAAACATATGATTAATAATAAATTAAAAATTAATCATACATTCTCTCTCTCTCTCTCTCTCAACCTTTCTTCTCTTTCTCAACCTTTCCGTCGGAAGACAACCGTCTGCACAAGACCATTGCAAGTGCCCCCTCGTTGTTGAGCATGACACTCATATTAGCATTGTAAGCTGACAAGCAGACTTATGGGCACCGCTGTAAGCACAAAGCAACGGTGATGGCGAAGCGACGACTTGGTGGTGGGTGTTGGTCAGAGCCGGTCCTGAGGCGAGGCAGATGAGGCCTGCGCCTTAGGCCAAAAACCATAGGGGGCCTCATTTTGTTGGCCCTTTAATTGCAGACTTGCAGTCACCATTGTTGCAGCGAGAAGCTTGGAGTTGGAGAGCGGAAGATGATGTGTTACCTGGGCCATTTTATTTTTTAAGATTTTGGGCCTTTTATTTGGGACTTTTTTTTTAATTAGGCCCATTATATTATGAATTGATAATAAGTTAAAATGTTGACAAACTTTTCTTTCGTTCTCACTTCTCCCAAATCGGCAATTGCAAACCCTATTGGCTATTCGGCTTCCATTGCAAACCCTATTGGCTATTCGGCTTCCAAATCTGAAATTGTGGGTGAGCTGTGTGAGCAGCTCTCTAGCCAAGTATGTGAGCCGCCAGTGCGTCGTCATCCTCCACCAGAATGCCACTGTCTGTCTCGGCCCTACCCCATTTTTTCGGCAAATGAATTTGTGGATTATGGGTATGTTATGTCTAACTTTCTAAGTTCTTATATGCTCTAGTGATGTAAATTTTGTTGGTGAATTACTGAATTAGCTTCACTGCATCCAAATGGTAGATGAATGAAATAAGAAAATTCCTCATTTTATTTTTGCTAATTAATTATTCCTGAAGATGTTTTTGGTCATGTTTTATATTAGCTTTTTTGAAGAATGACTTCCTTTTTTTTTTCTTTTTGCAAATTATTGTTTTAATTGTCCTTTTCTTGCTGTTTGCTGGTCAATGAAATGAAATCGTTATATTGCTCTTATAGAGCATGTTTATTTATTTTCTAATTAAAATTAAACTATTAACATTGAAAAAGTAAAAAATGTGAAAGTTATGTATCTTTTTAACAATCAAGTAAAAAAGTTGTTTTATTGTTTAGTTTTAAGTTAACAATAGGTTGTATAATACACTATTGAATTTGAATCTACAATGGTTTTAGGGCCTACTTTATGAAGCTTGCCTCGGGCCCTGAAGATCACAGGACCGGCCCTGGTGTTGGTGTGATGTTAATGGCTATTGTACTGAATGGGAATTTGTAGATGTGGTGTTTGTCCATGCACTGATTTGAGTGGCGCTGTTAGATCGTCGTGACGATATGAGCCCCGCGCAAATTGGTGCTCAACTATGGTTTTAGGGTGGCCTTCAGTCATGTTTTTGCGACCAATGTTTATACAATGATTTTGGATCTAGCTATTAGTTGTGCAGTTATTTTGGATCTAATTTTGTGGTGATTGTGGAGTGATTTTTGGGTGTGATTTGCTGGTAGTGATGGTGAGGTTGCAGTGGTGACTGTGGTGCTGATTTTGGGCGGCATGGCATGAGCGTCATTTCTGCAGTGTTGGAGGTGGGAATGGTTCTGGCTACTGCGTTGGGTTTTTGACTATGAAGGATGTTTTGGTGGTGATCATTGTGATGTTGGCTGTGGTGATGAGGTGGTGGTGATGTTGGCGATGGTTGTGCTATGGTGCGATGGTAGGAACGGAGTTGTGGTGGGTGCGACGATGATGTGCTACTGGGATGCTACTAATGCAATGGTTGGGTAAGTGGCGTGGTGCTATGCGCGCTTGAGGTTGCGGTGGGTGGGGTGAGATGTGGTGATGGTGGTGGTGACGATAGTTCTGGCATCGGCGATTTTGGTGGTGTTGCGGCTGATAACAGTTGTAAGATGGTGGTCACAACTAACAAGTGTTGGTGGTGGTCATTAATTATTTTGTTGACTGTTACCATTAAATCGGTTAATCTGTGACCAATAAATAATATGTGATCAATTAAAAATATAAATTGTGATCAAGAAATAATATGGGACCTAAAAAATTGTTAATTTGTGACAGATAATTTGATTATTTGTTATTATATAATAAGTTGTGACTTATAATAATTGTGATTTGTGACTAATAAATAAACTGCGACCTATAAAATTTTTGAATTGTGGCCGTAAAATAATTTGTAACATAAAATTTCTGACTTGTGACCAAAAAATAATAAGTAACTAATTAAATCATTAATTTGTAATCAAATTGTATAGATATGTAACTTAAATATATTTAATTTATTTATTTATTAATTAACTAAATCATAAATAAATTTTAATAAAAATCTAATTTTTGAAGTTTGAAACTTGCTTTCTTGATTTTGAAATGTGCACTTAAGAAATTTTTCCTTTTTTTTTTTTAAATTTTTGATGGATCACTTTGATAAGTCTGTTTTACACATTTAGGCTGTTCGATCTACTTAATAGTTAATTAGTTGGACAAATTTCTACTCATATTAGTGCATATATTACGTTTATATATGAAAATCCCAACTTGGAGCGGAACTGAGCATAAATGAAGAAATTGGGAGGCTTAGTTGGAGATTAAAGGATGGAATTAAAGAGCTATCAAGAAGCACAAGACTAGATTGGAAGCTTTAGATTTGTTGATGGAATGAATTCACAAGTTTGACGAGATTTAACATGAATAAGTGATAAAATTGGTAAAATAAATGATATACTAGTATACAATATAAGTCAAAAAAAATTTAAATGGTGGGAATATAAGTATTATTTCAAGTGACAAGATATTTCTATTATTTTAAAGTAAGTTGTTGGTGGATGTATTTTTCAATTTTCTTATAAGTAAAAAGTAAAAAGAAAAAGGAAAATGTTATTTGTACACCGAGGTTACCATTCCGGTGTACACTTCCCTTACATGAGGGGATGGGCCCCACGACAATAAAAAAATCTTTGGATCTCCCATATGAGGGGAGTGTACACCGGAATGTCAACATTGGTGTACGTATAGCAAAACTCAAAGAAAAAAGAAAAAGAGAAGGCCTCAAACTAATTTTATATATACTAGTGTATTGTCCATGCAATGCATGAGATGTGTTATTTTGAAGGTAATGTTAGTGTTTTTAATGTATTAGAATTCAATATTTTTTATTGCTATTGAGATGGATTTTTCGGTGTTTAATATGCAATAAAACGTCCAAGATTCGTGAACATCATTTTAGAGACCGTAGATACTTGTAAAGAAATTGACGTTTGTTATTGTATTAAAGTAGATGTTACAAGAAAGATAAAGTTTAACTTCTGCACTCAAGGAATACATATTTTCGTTGTACTAGCCCACCAGATGATCTGTAAGGATAAAACAACCTAGCAAACTGATTTTCTAGATCCCTAATCACTAGATTGTGATTGATACCATGTTGCTAAAATGCATGCAGAAAAAATGAGGTGCACAAAACCAGAAATTCGTCAATCGTAGCTTGTTTTGGAAATTATCTGTGGAGTCTCTCAGCGTCTTGACGTTTGCTTTCAGATCACCCAATCGTAGCTTGTTCTGGAGATTATCCATAGAGTTTCTCAAAGTCTTGACTACTGCTTACTAATGCAGTCTAGATGGAGATAACCATAGTGCTTTGAACTCTAAGACAACATCAAATAGAAATACTTGTGCAACAATATAGACATGAATCTCATCGTCGTTTGCTTGATCCATTTATGAATTATGATAATTGGTCATAGGCCAAGAACTAAATTGCACATACTATAACAGTTTCACAATTAATGTTTCTTTCTTTTTCATTGAGCAGAACAAATTAATTCAAAATCAATAGATTATTGGACTTACTAACTTGAAACAAGATGCAAGTAAATTACTTTATACTAGAACTTAAAATGTAGTTATACATGAGAAGTTTGTCGTCACTTGGGGAATTTCACATTTCAGGTGAATCATGCAAGAGACTTTCACATTTATCTTATGTAATGGTACCTGCTGTCATAAAATTTATTGATAACCTGTCATTACCAAAGAATTGTGTCATTTAAGTACTTAAATAAATAATGCCTACATCAGAGATTAAAAATGATCGTCATATTGCAGAGGCTGTATCATAGAAATTTATGTAGAAATTTAGAACTACGTCTTTGAAAATGTCATTCTGTCTTTCCTGGTTTTCTAGATCAATCCAAAGAGTGGTAGCTGGGCTTTTTTGTTCAAAAAATTCAAAAGTTTGCTCTTCAATCCTATATCAGTAACCAGCAAAAAAAAAAAAAAAAAAACAAGTGAATTTCACATTGAATTGAAGCCGGTATCAAACGTCAACCAAACTAAAACAAATATAACAATTAAAAAAATTAAATGTTTAAAAATTCAGAAAAACGGGATCGAAATGTCACATAAGAAGCTAAAAGATCATGCAAGTGATGTTAAAGAGATAGCAGAGTTTTTAACTCTTATA